AGGGGGGGGGGGATGCATGGGTTCATATGTGAGCGTCTAACAGGTTGCCCTGCTTAATGCAACCCCCTCCCCTTCCCCTTTTCTTCCCCCAAACAGGGTAAAAATAGACACGGTGGAATATATTTACGGTCTCTGATATAGACCGGCTAAATGAGTCACCGTGGAGTTCTATAGGCTGCCTGTGGATTCAGGACAACAAACTCTCCTTTGGAGATTTGCCCTTAAAGCATTGACCCCTTCACTGCTAAGCCCGAGAACTGAGCGATGAGGCAAGTCCTCCAGTAAAAGCGCATTCTTGTGTTTCATAATTTTTCGTTTATGGGGATAAAAAATAGTTCCTTGTAGGCTACTAAAGTGTTTGATTGTAGAAGTTTGGTATGGTCGTTGTCCCGTCTCCACCGACGGCCCAATAACCGTCAACACTCTCAACCCATGGACAGTGAGCTCATCTCGAAGAGACGACCTTTTTGTGTCTTAAAACTTTGCCCTCCCTTGCAGACTCTCAAACTTTTCCCCCTCAGCCACTCGACCTTGTTGGGTTGTCAAGAAAACCTGATTACATGCCTTTAGAGATTTAAAAAAACGATATCTAGATGTGCAGAAATAAGGCCAGTAAACAAAAAGCAGAAAAGATGCTTACGTATTATTGCGAAGATAGTCTTCTTTTAACATGTGCTAGAGTTGCATCGCAAAAAAGTAGTCAGATGGAATTAACCTACTGTGATTACGCTTGTCGTATGCAAATGAACAAAATCCATAAAAATGAGCAATATTAAAATTTTAAAAATCTTCAATTTTATATAAGAGGATACTTCTCCGATCTGAGTGGACAAATGAGCCACGTTTTTTTGTGGCTGTTCTCGGAGTGTGCTCACCTGCAAATTCTCTGAGCTGACCTGCAGCTTGCTCTCCTCGATACAACATTTCAGCACCTCTTGTATCTCGCTCTTCACAATTTTGCCTGTGCCTTGGAGAGAATATGAAAGAAACGAGTGTTATCTTTGACTTTGCCGTTTGTCACTACCATTGAAATCCCCATTATCCCCCCCCCCCTCCTCGTCGTCTTTCTCCTTCCCCTCCTCATCTTCCTCCCGCTCCTTATCATTATCTTTAGCTTCATCATCATCCCCTCCACCACTACCACTACCGCCACCACCACCACCACTACCACCAACTTTATTGTCATCGTTGTCGTTATTAAAACAAGAACGACGTGCTTATGGTGTATGAACTGTGTTCTCTTGGATAAGATTTGAACTCATAATCATTCACAAAGTGAAATACTGTTCACTTTTACCTCGTCCAAAAAGGTTCAACCATTTTTTAAAAAGACACGTTAACGTTGGAGAAACCCCACCAGTGCCTTTAAAAACTGTCCTTCCATTTCTTTGCTTTGTTTTTATGCGTATAATTGCTGTGTAAATTGACAGGTAAGCACATTTTTTCCTGCTATGTTTGATAGCTTGCCATCTGCCCGGCCTCTGGATATTTCAACCCTCGATTTAAAAGTTCGATCTTGTGTGATTATAAGAGAAGAAATATTTGGCTTTGGTGAGTCTTGGGATTAGAGGGGCTTATAAAGCGATCATCTAATTTTTGCTCTGTGGCTAGACAGGTGACTCATTTCGTTTGCCCATGCCCTCCCACCACTTCTCTCTCTCTCTCTGCTTCTCTCTCTCTCTCTCTCTCTCTCT